CCTACAATGTGATTTTCTGGAGAAAAAAAATCTCAATTTGTCTGTCATAGTTAACGTGTACCTATGATGAAAATTACAGGCCTCTCTCATTTTTTTAAGTGGGAGAACTTGCACAATTGGTGGCTGACTAAATACTTTTTTCCCCCACTGTATACTACGGAACGTATGGGATTTTTGGCCAAATGTTTATGACTGTGTTAAAAACGCTGTATAGTGACTCCTCTGCGATGGTCTTCACGTTTTACCAATGGCTCCTCACAGTTCGCCATCAAATGGGGAAATGATCAAGGCTGTCCAGCTTCCAGTCCCCTGTTTGCCCCATCACTGGAGCCTTTAGCTAAAACAAATACGTCAATCCAAAGATATAGGGCAAATATCAGTTAAGGATACATCCCTGTTAGTGAGCAGTTCTCCTTTGCCAAGATAATCCATCCACCTGACAGGTGTGGCATATCAAGAAGCTGATCATTACACAGGTGCACCTTGTGCTGGGGACAATAAAAGGTCAATGAGGAGTATTTCTGTCTGTAATAAAGCCCTTTTGTGGGGAAAAAACTAATTCTGACTGGCTGGGCAGGCGGGCCTGGATCCTATGGCCTCCCAAGCCCACCCATGGCTGCGCCCCTGCCCAGTCATGTGAAATCTATAGACTTGGGCCTAATGTATTTATTTCAATTGACTGATTTCCTTAAATGAACTGTAACTCAGTAAAATCGTTGAAATTGTTGCGTTTATATTTTTGTTCATTATATATAATTGTTTACCTCCTAGAAGCCCTCTGTAAACCAATGGGAATAGTTACGGTATGGAACACAGATCTTAAAGACGACAACCAAACTTGGATCTATTTGCTAACTAACAAGGCAGAACAGTTGAATTGTTATGAACACACCTTTCTGTCTGTCTGCCAGTGTCTGAACAGCACGCTAGCCTGTCTCTATTTAACAGATGTTGAAATCAAGTGGCCTACCTTATTTCTCAGAATGAGAACCAGTTGCCAATTCCTTATATAATTGTGTTTTGTGATTATTGCACATTTATAAAAACACAGACTAGACAGAAGTCGTCCTCCAGAAAGTAGTCCATCACAACTTTTTCCCACTGATCTTTGTCGATAGCGCCTGCTAAATTCAGGGCAGCCATGTTGTTGAGACCAGTAGCAACACTTTTGCAGTTCTCAATGATATCTTAAAAATAAAATAAATGCATTTTAAGGACTATCTACACATACTGAGCAGCTCATGTTATAGACAGAAGCATGCTACATGGCAGACCAATCCGAAACTCATCTCTCGGCATGTCCAGTCCATCCATTATCTCAGCCAATCACGGCTAGCGGGAAGGTTCCTGTCTTTTTTTCATGGGCTAAACCAACTAGGCTCGTAATTTAACCATTTTATTCTTATTTTACAGATGGAATACAAGTTTGTTATTAAGGCACATAAAAGTTCCCATGTTCCAGAAGGCATTTCTGCCCAAAACTAATTTGGATGAAAACTAAATGTTTTACGTTCAAATGGCTCTCCTGTACAGTAGTGATGTGCGCCATACGCCTAGCTTCCTGGAACGGGTCACAGGTTATTTTATTGGACTAGAAGCATCTAAAAGGGTGGCTGTCTCTTTAAGTAATGAATGACGTCATTCTTGAGGCAGAATGTGGCTGTGGATATCTGACTTTGTGGCTGTGGATATCTGACTTTGTGGCTGTGGAATCTGACTTTGTGGCTGTGGAATCTGACTTTGTGGCTGTGGAATCTGACTTTGTGGCTGTGGAATCTGGTGGAAACCAGACTGGAGGCAAAGGAAGACGAAGAAGTGATTGATTATTTGGTGGCAAGAGACGAAGTGAATTAATAACATTTTTGGTGCCAATCAGTTGTGAAATCAGCATATTTTGGGTTATGGAATCACAAACAAAGTACTAGGGTATTGAATTCAGCTGACATTTCAGCTATTCATTTCTTAATTAATTTGTAAAAATGTCTGAAAGTGTAATTCCACATTGACAATATGGGGTATTGTGTGTACGCCAGTGAAACAAAATCTCACTTGAATCAATTTTCAATTCAGGCTGTAACACATCAAAATGTGGAAAAAGTCGAGGGGTGTGAATAATTTCTGAAGGCGCTGTATCCAGGTAAGCATTGACAAATTCCATTTGATATTGATGAAGGTAAAAAATAATAAAATTGTCTGAAGGCACTGTATAAGTTATTCTCAATGAATCAATGGCTAGGATATTATTCATTTAAATGTTTAAAAGCTGCATGCACCAATCGCAGTTTCCCTTTTAACAATTCATACAGCGCTGAACAACATATTTGAGTGTAGAACTTCAGTAGAACGCCCCTTAAAAACCACACATTTCAAAAACTGCATAGTTTGAACGCCTGTTTTAAAGACAATACTTACTGGTGTTAATCAGATCTCCAGTCTCCTCCTCCATTCCTTCCTCCTCACCCTCTTTAACTCCCAAAACATCTTCCTCCTTTTCTTTTATTGAAATAGCCTCCTCTGCCTCTTTCACTCTAGAAGGTTCTTCCTCTTCTTTCAATGTGACAGCCTCCTCTTCCTCCTTCTTAATTCTGAAAGCTTCTACCTCCTCCTCTTCCACTGTTACAGCCTCTATCCCCTCTTCCTCTTCCACTATAACATCCTCTTCTTCTTTCAATGTGACAGCCTCCTCTTCCTCCTTTTTCATTCTGAAAGCTTCTACCTCCTCCTCTTCCACTGTTACAGCCTCTATCCCCTCTTCCTCTTCCACTATAACATCCTCTTCTTCTTTCAATGTGACAGCCTCCTCTTCCTCCTTCTTAATTCTGAAAGCTTCTACCTCCTCCTCTTCCACTGTTACAGCCTCTACCCCCTCTTCCTCTTTCACTATAACATCCTCTTCTTTGAATGTGATAGCCTCCTCTTCCTCCTTCTTAATTCTGAAAGCTTCTTCCTCCTCTTCCTCTTTCACGCCAAAAGGTTCTTTCACTATAACAGCCTCCTCTTCCTCCTTTTTCATTCTAAAAACGAATTCCTCTCCTTTCCCTGTAATATAATCCTCTTCCTCTTCTTTTGCGATAATGTTCATCCCCAGAGCTTCTTTCTCCGTCCAGCAGACCTCCTCTTCTTTAGCAGGAGGGGAGTAGCTTAGTGAGCTCATGGTCGGGGATGTTAGCTAGCTAGCTAGCGACTAGCCTAACCTCAGTATCAATTTAACACATTTGCTAATTTAATTTAGCTAGCAAATTAACTTCAATTTAACTAGTTTTATGTTTAAAACACTGAGATTAATATACACAAGATCGGTCTAAAGAACTTAAATGTTTCGGTTTTATGTTGGCTAGCAAACTACCTCCTGGTTGAATCAGTAGCCTGTTGTCGCTGTTGAAGAAGCTTCCCGTCCCGTCCACTACATTATACGTCACGCATGCAGCATCACCAGAAAGACTCACATCGCCATCTGCTGACTGGAGTGGGTAACACAGACTGGAAAAATATTCATTACATAATATATTCGGGCAAACAATGTAATAGAAAGTCACTTAAAAACTACCCGTTTTTATGTTTTCTCCAATACTTTCCTCCAGGGCTGACCTGCCCATTAGGCAGGATTAGGCGACAGAATGACGAAGGCAGCATTTTCCGAGGTAAACTGACCAAGGCGCTCTGGCAACAACACATAATAACACCTCACATAATTCAATTCAAATCAAATTGTATTGGCCACATATACATATTTAGCAGATGTTATTGCGGGTCTAGGAAATTATTGTGTTCCTAGCTCCAACAGTGCAGTAAATACTTGTGTTCCTAGCTCCAACAGTGCAGTAAATGCTTGTGTTCCTAGCACCAACAGTGCAGTAAATGCTTGTGTTCCTAGCACCAACAGTGCAGTAAATCCTTGTGTTCCTAGCTCCAACAGTGCAGTAAATCCTTGTGTTCCTAGCACCAACAGTGCAGTAAATGCTTGTGTTCCTAGCTCCAACAGTGCAGTAAATCCTTGTGTTCCTAGCACCAACAGTGCAGTAAATCCTTGTGTTTTATTTCTTTCATCACATTCCCAGTGGGTCAGAAGTTTACATACACATCATTAGTATTTGGTAGCATTGCCTTTAAATTGTTTAACTTGGGTCAAACGTTTCGGGGTGCTTCCAAAAGCTTCCCACAATAAGATGGGTGAATTTTGGCCCATTCTTCCTGACAGAGCTGGTGTAACTGAGTCAGGTTTGTAGGCCTCCTTGATTGCACACACTTTTTCAGTTCTGCCCACACATTTTCTATAGGATTGAGGTCAGGGCTTTGTGATGGCCACTCCAATACCTTGATTTTGTTTTCCTTAAGCCATTTTGTCACAACTTTGGAAGTATGCTTGAGGTCATTGTCCATTTGGAAGACCCATTTGCGACCAAGCTTAAACTTCCTTACTGATGTCTTGAGATGTTGCTTCAATATATCCACATACTTTTCCTTCCTCATGATGCTATCTTTTCTCCCCCCACTGTAGATACTTTTGTACCTGTTTCCTCCAGCATATTCACAAGGTCCTTTGCTGTTATTCTGGGATTGATTTGCAGTTTTTGCACCAAAGTATGTTCATCTCTAGGACGGAACGAGTCTCCTTCCTGAGCGGTATGACGGCTGCGTGGTCCCATGGTGTTTATTATTGCGTACTATTGTTTGTACAGATGAACGTGGTACCGTCAGCCGTTTGGAAATTGCTCCCAAGGATGAACCAGACTTGTGGAGGTCTACACATTTTTTTATGAGGTCTTGGCTGATTTCTTTTGATTTTCCCATGATGTCAAGCAAAGAGGCACTGAGTTTGAAGGTAGGCCTTGAAATAAATCCACATGTACACCTCCAATTGACTCAAATGATGTCAATTAGCCTATCAGAAGCTTCTAAAGCCATGCTTTAGTTCCTAGCTCCAACAGTGCAGTAGATGCTTGTGTTCCTAGCTCCAAGAGTGCAGTAAATGCTTGTGTTCCTAGCTCCAACAGTACAGTAAATGCTTGTGTTCCTAGCTCCAACAGTGCAGTAAATGCTTGTGTTCCTAGCTCCAACAGTGCAGTAAATGCTTGTGTTCCTAGCTCCAACAGTGCAGTAAATGCTTGTGTTCCTAGCTCCAACAGTGCAGTAAATGCGTGTGTTCCTAGCTCCAACAGTGTAGTAAATGCTTGTGTTCCTAGCTCCAACAGTGTAGTAAATGCTTGTGTTCCTAGCTCCAACAGTGCAGTAAATGCTTGTGTTCCTAGCTCCAACAGTGCAGTAAATGCTTGTGTTCCTAGCTCCAACAGTGCAGTAAATGCTTGTGTTCCTAGCTCCAACAGTGTAGTAAATGCTTGTGTTCCTAGCTCCAACAGTGCAGTAAATGCTTGTGTTCCTAGCTCCAACAGCGCAGTAAATGCTTGTGTTCCTAGCTCCAACAGTGCAGTAAATGCTTGTGTTCCTAGCTCCAACAGTGCAGTAAATCCTTGTGTTCCTAGCTCCAACAGTGTAGTAAATGCTTGTGTTCCTAGCTCCAACAGTGCAGTAAATGCTTGTGTTCCTAGCTCCAACAGGACAGTAAATCCTTGTGTTCCTAGCTCCAACAGTGCAGTAAATCCTTGTGTTCCTAGCTCCAACAGTGTAGTAAATACTTGTGTTCCTAGCTCCAACAGGACAGTAAATCCTTGTGTTCCTAGCACCAACAGTACAGTAAATGCTTGTGTTCCTAGCTCCAACAGTGCAGTAAATCCTTGTGTTCCTAGCTCCAACAGTGCAGTAAATGCTTGTGTTCCTAGCTCCAACAGTGCAGTAAATGCTTGTGTTCCTAGCTCCAACAGTACAGTAAATGCTTGTGTTCCTAGCTCCAACAGTGCAGTAAATGCTTGTGTTCCTAGCACCAACAGGGCAGTAAATGCTTGTGTTCCTAGCTCCAACAGTACAGTAAATGCTTGTGTTCCTAGCTCCAACAGTGCAGTAAATCCTTGTGTTCCTAGCTCCAACAGTACAGTAAATCCTTGTGTTCCTAGCTCCAACAGGACAGTAAATCCTTGTGTTCCTAGCTCCAACAGTGCAGTAAATCCTTGTGTTCCTAGCTCCAACAGTGTAGTAAATCCTTGTGTTCCTAGCTCCAACAGGACAGTAAATCCTTGTGTTCCTAGCACCAACAGTACAGTAAATGCTTGTGTTCCTAGCTCCAACAGTGCAGTAAATCCTTGTGTTCCTAGCTCCAACAGTGCAGTAAATGCTTGTGTTCCTAGCTCCAACAGTGCAGTAGATGCTTGTGTTCCTAGCTCCAACAGTGCAGTAAATGCTTGTGTTCCTAGCTCCAACAGTGCAGTAAATCATTGTGTTCCTAGCTCCAACAGTGCAGTAAATGCTTGTGTTCCTAGCTCCAACAGTGCAGTAAATGCTTGTGTTCCTAGCTCCAACAGTGCAGTAAATGCGTGTGTTCCTAGCTCCAACAGTGTAGTAAATGCTTGTGTTCCTAGCTCCAACAGTGTAGTAAATGCTTGTGTTCCTAGCTCCAACAGTGCAGTAAATGCTTGTGTTCCTAGCTCCAACAGTGCAGTAAATGCTTGTGTTCCTAGCTCCAACAGTGCAGTAAATGCTTGTGTTCCTAGCTCCAACAGTGCAGTAAATGCCTGTGTTCCTAGCTCCAACAGTGCAGTAAATGCTTGTGTTCCTAGCACCAACAGGGCAGTAAATGCTTGTGTTCCTAGCTCCAACAGTACAGTAAATGCTTGTGTTCCTAGCTCCAACAGTGCAGTAAATCCTTGTGTTCCTAGCTCCAACAGGGCAGTAAATGCTTGTGTTCCTAGCACCAACAGTGCAGTAAATCCTTGTGTTCCTAGCTCCAACAGTGCAGTAAATCCTTGTGTTCCTAGCTCCAACAGTACAGTAAATCCTTGTGTTCCTAGCTCCAACAGGACAGTAAATCCTTGTGTTCCTAGCTCCAACAGTGCAGTAAATCCTTGTGTTCCTAGCTCCAACAGTGTAGTAAATCCTTGTGTTCCTAGCTCCAACAGGACAGTAAATCCTTGTGTTCCTAGCTCCAACAGTGTAGTAAATCCTTGTGTTCCTAGCTCCAACAGTACAGTAAATCCTTGTGTTCCTAGCTCCAACAGGACAGTAAATCCTTGTGTTCCTAGCTCCAACAGTGCAGTAAATCCTTGTGTTCCTAGCTCCAACAGTGTAGTAAATCCTTGTGTTCCTAGCACCAACAGTACAGTAAATGCTTGTGTTCCTAGCTCCAACAGTACAGTAAATCCTTGTGTTCCTAGCTCCAACAGTGCAGTAAATGCTTGTGTTCCTAGCACCAACAGTGCAGTAAATGCGTGTGTTCCTAGCTCCAACAGTGTAGTAAATGCTTGTGTTCCTAGCTCCAACAGTGTAGTAAATGCTTCTGTTCCTAGCACCAACTTTGCAGTAAATGCTTGTGTTCCTAGCTCCAACAGTGCAGTAAATGCTTGTGTTCCTAGCTCCAACAGTGCAGTAAATCCTTGTGTTCCTAGCACCAACAGTGCAGTAAATGCCTGTGTTCCTAGCTCCAACAGTGCAGTAAATGCTTGTGTTCCTAGCACCAACAGGGCAGTAAATGCTTGTGTTCCTAGCTCCAACAGTACAGTAAATGCTTGTGTTCCTAGCTCCAACAGTGCAGTAAATCCTTGTGTTCCTAGCTCCAACAGGGCAGTAAATGCTTGTGTTCCTAGCACCAACAGTGCAGTAAATCCTTGTGTTCCTAGCTCCAACAGTGCAGTAAATCCTTGTGTTCCTAGCTCCAACAGTACAGTAAATCCTTGTGTTCCTAGCTCCAACAGGACAGTAAATCCTTGTGTTCCTAGCTCCAACAGTGCAGTAAATCCTTGTGTTCCTAGCTCCAACAGGACAGTAAATCCTTGTGTTCCTAGCTCCAACAGTGTAGTAAATCCTTGTGTTCCTAGCTCCAACAGTTACAGTAAATCCTTGGTGTTCCTAGCTCCAACAGGACAGTAAATCCTTGTGTTCCTAGCTCCAACAGTGCAGTCAAATCCTTGTGGTTCCTAGCTCCAACAGTGTAGTAAATCCTTGTGTTCCTAGCTTCCAACAGGACAGTAAATCCTTGTGTTCCTAGCACCAACAGTACAGTAAATGCTTGTGTTCCTAGCTCCACAGTACAGTAAATCCTTGTTGTTCCTAGCTCCAACAGTGCAGTAAATGCTTGTGTTCCTAGCTCCAACAGTGCAGTAGTACTTGTGTTCCTAGCTCCAACAGTGCAGTAAATGCTTGTGTTCCTAGCTCCAACAGTACAGTAAATGCTTGTGTTCCTAGCTCCAACAGTACAGTAAATCCTTGTGTTCCTAGCTCCAACAGTGCAGTAAATGCTTGTGTTCCTAGCTACAACAGTACAGTAAATGCTTGTGTTCCTAGCTCCAACAGTGCAAGTAAATGCTTGTGTTCCTAGCACCAACAGTGCAGTAAATGCTTGTGTTCCTAGCTCCAACAGTGCAGTAAATGCTTCTGTTCCTAGCACCAACTTTGCAGTAAATGCTTGTGTTCCTAGCTCCAACAGTGCAGTAGATTATTGTGTTCCTAGCTCCAACAGTGCAGTAAATGCTTGTGTTCCTAGCTCCAACAGTGCAGTAAATGCGTGTGTTCCTAGCTCCAACAGTGTAGTAAATGCTTGTGTTCCTAGCTCTAACAGTGTAGTAAATGCTTGTGTTCCTAGCTCCAACAGTGCAGTAAATGCTTGTGTTCCTAGCTCCAACAGTGCAGTAAATGCTTGTGTTCCTAGCTCCAACAGTGCAGTAAATGCTGTGTTCCTAGCTCCAACAGTGTAGTAAATGCTTGTGTTCCTAGCTCCAACAGTGCAGTAAATGCTTGTGTTCCTAGCTCCAAACAGTGCAGTAAATGCTTGTGTTCCTAGCTCCAACAGTGCAGTAAATGATTGTGTTCCTAATCCAACAGTGCAGTAAATCCTTGTGTTCCTAGCTCCAACAGTGTAGTAAATGCTTGTGTTCCTAGCTCCAACAGTGCAGTAAATGCTTGTGTTCCTAGCACCAACAGTGCAGTAAATGCTTCTGTTCCTAGCTCCAACAGTGCAGTAAATGCTTGTGTTCCTAGCTCCAACAGTGCAGTAAATGCTTGTGTTCCTAGCTCCAACAGTGCAGTAAATCCTTGTGTTCCTAGCTCCAACAGGGCAGTAAATGCTTGTGTTCCTAGCACCAACAGGGCAGTAAATCCTTGTGTTCCTAGCTCCAACAGTGCAGTAAATCCTTGTGTTCCTAGCTCCAACAGTACAGTAAAATCCTTGTGCCAACAGTGCAGTAAATGCTTGTGTTCCTAGCTCCAACAGTGCAGTAAATCCTTGTGTTCCTAGCTCCAACAGGACAGTAAATCCTTGTGTTCCTAGCACCAACAGTACAGTAAATGCTTGTGTTCCTAGCTCCAACAGTGCAGTAAATCCTTGTGTTCCTAGCTCCAACAGTGCAGTAAATGCTTGTGTTCCTAGCTCCAACAGTGCAGTAAATCCTTGTGTTCCTAGCTCCAACAGTGCAGTAGTGGGGGCTGTAGTGGACCAGGTTGAGAGCTTCAAGTTCCTTGGTGTCCACATCAACAACAAACTAACATGGTCCAAGCACACCAAGACAGTCGTGAAGAGGGCACGACAAAACCTATTCCCCCTAATTTGGCATGGGTCCTCAGATCCTCAAAAGGTTCTACAGCTGCACCATCGAGAGCATCCTGACTGGTTGCATCACTGCCTGGTATGGCAACTGATCGGCCTCCATCCGCAAGGCACTACAGAGGGTAGTGCGTACGGCCCAGTACATCACTGGGGCCAAGCTTCCTGCCATCCAGGACCTCCATACCAGGTGGTGTCAGAGGAAGGCCCTAAAAATTGTCAAAGACTCCAGCTACCCTAGTCATAGACTGTTCTCTCTGCTACCACATGGCAAGCGGTACAGGAGCGCCAAGTCTAGGTCCAAGAGGCTTCTAAACAGCTTCTACCCCCAAGCCATTAGAATCCTGAACATCTAATCAAATGGCTACCCGGACTATTTGCATTAATTCTTAATTGTTAATTATTTATTTTATAGAAATAAATCCTGCCTCACTTTGGAACGTAAAAGAAAGATTGTTCAAGCATTGATACAGGGGGTACCGGTCCCGAGTCAACGCTTCTCCCAGGACTTGAATATGGTGATATAATCTACATGCATGCGGCAGCCTCTGTTTTAAAACCTGTTTTAAATGAGACCCTGGTCTCAATGGTGACCCACCCTTTATGAATAAAAGTTCAATAAGAACAAATATGAGTTAATAGACCAATAAGAAAGAGTTCCAAACCTCTCTGCCAATAACAGCTAGTTTTCCGTTTTCCCTTCCCCACTCAGACCAATAAGAAAGAGTTCCAAACCTCTCTGCCAATAACAGCTAGTTTTCCGTTTTCCCTTCCCCACTCGGACCAATAAGAAAGAGTTCCAAACCTCTCTGCCAATAACAGCTAGTTTTCAGTTTCCCCCTCCCCACTCAGACCAATAAGAAAGAGTAAATAAATACAAATAATACAAATAATAATACAATAGTAATAAAGATCAAAGCTGAATCAATGTTCATAATAATAGAACTACATTTAATAATAGTATCCTACATTTGTGGTCACCCTCCCTTCACATTCTCACAGTCAATCGTGAAAGATAATTCTTCAAGTCTTACCAGTGAAACGTCCAGTATGCATTTAGATCTTCTTGAATTATGTACCGTGTTATTTCAAAGTACTGTGTTGTTGTTGTTGTTTTATGATGTACAGTAAGCATATTTTAGAGCAGATGCTGTTAATAGCCTATTGCCTAGCGACGAGCTGTTGAGTTATGACGGTATGGGAGGAAAATAATACCATTCGTAAAATCATCCTAAAATCTCATGAGAAATAAGGTAGGTTTTTTTTTTTTGACTTACGGTAACATTATACTATGCTATTATATTAGGTTCTCTTATGTAGAATGATATCATTGTGTGATCCTGCAGACATTGATTCAGTACCATTCTCCCTTGATCACTGGCCAGCAGAACGAGTAGAGCAGAGACTGTGCGTAAAGTAGAGAATGTGTGACTAATGCTCTGTATCTTTAGTCCAGAAAATACAGAACAGCAGCCTCAGCCTAAAATAAACCCGGGGTGTCCACATACTTTTGGCCATGTAGTGTACATCTAGCTGGTTTTTTTCTGACCGTATGGCAGCGTCAGGTAAGATTAAGGGGGTGGGGGTGTCTCTTTGTTAACAACAGCTGGTGCGATCTCTAATGTTAAAGAAGTCTTGAGGTTCTGCTCACCTGAGTTAGGATGCCTCTCGATAAGCTGAAGACTACACAATTTACCTAGAGAGTTTTCATCTATACTGAACAAAAAATATAAACGCAATTTCAAACATGTAGTATATGAAGATTATGACTTTGTTAATGTTTTCAGTGGAACCTGAGAGGATGTTTATTTTAGTGTCAGAGGGAATTGTTTTAGTGTGACGCCACATACAACAGACAGGAAGTGTGTGTTGTAGACAGGGGATTGGACAGTAGAGGGAGCCACCCATATCTTGGGAAGATTATATATACTGGGTAAAAACGAAGAAGAGGTTAGAGCAGACATTACAATTCGAGGACACTGCTCTCCGGGTGATCTGACACCCGTACACTCATGCTGAAAACTTGTGATATGAATAAACCTTATGTTCAAAGTTCAGTATGAGCGGACTCCTTTGTTACAGCAATAACTAGCGACATTTGACTCGACACAACAAAGATTTTATTGAGTTACAGTTCACATAAGGAAATCAGTCAATTGAAATAAATAAATTAGGCCCTAATCTATGGATTTCACACGACTGGGAATATAGATGTGCATCTGTTGGTCACAGATACCTTAAAATAAATGGACCTCACAATGGGCCTCAGGATCTTGTCACGGTATCTCTGTGCATTCACATTTACATCAATAAAATGCACTTGTGTTCGTTGTCCGTAGCTTATGCCTGCTCATACCATAACTCCACCGCCATCATGGGGCACTCTGTTCACAACGTTGACATCAGCAAACCGCTCGCCCACACGGTGCCATACATGTGGTCTGCGGTTGTGAGGCCGGTTGGACGTACTGCCAAATTCTCTAAAATGACGTTTGAGGCGGCTTATGGTAGAGAAATTAACATGAAATTCTCTGGCGACAGCTCTTGTGGGCATTCCTACCGTCAGCATGCCAGTTGCAAGCTCCCTCAACTTGAGACATCTGTGGCATTGTGTTGTGTGACAAAACTGCACATTTTAGAATGGCCTTTTATTGTCCCTGTGTAATGATCATGCTGTTGAATCAGCTTCTTGATATGCCACACCTGTCAGGTGGATGGGTTATCTTGGCAAAGAAGAAATGCTCACTAACAGGAATGTAAACAAATTTGTGCACAAAATTAGCGAAATAAGCTTTATTGTGCGTATGGAACATTTTTGGAAATTCGAATGAAACTGAAATCCCTTTTTACCCCATTTTTTACCAGCATGTCTCCTGTGCAACCAGCAGCAAAACAAACTTTAGACCACCTTTATTCCACACACAGAAACGCATACAAAGCCCTTCCCCGCCATCCCTTTGTCAAATCCGACCATAACAAAATCCTACTGATTCTTACAAGCAAAAACTCAAAACAGGAAGTACCAGTGACACACTCAATATGGAAGTGGTGCGATGAAGCGGATGCTAAAGCTACAGGACTGTTTAGCACAGGCTGAAATATGTTCTGGGATTCATCTGATGGTATTGAGGAGTTTACCACATCAGTCAACAGCTTCATTAATAAGTGCATCGACGACATCGTCCCCACGGTGACCGTACGTATTTACATTGACACCCTTTATTTTTTATTTCTTTATCCCCCAAAAATGTTGCACTGACTCTCTTGTTCTAGCTAAGTACAGTTGAAGGTTGGAGTCATTAAAACTCGTTTTTTTCAACCACTCCACACATTTCTTGTTAACAAACTATAGTTTTGGTCGAAGACTCCATCCACCCAAGTCACAGACTGTTCTCTCTGCTACCGCATGGCAAATGATACTGATGTACCAAGTCCGGAACCAACAGGACCCTGAAGAGCTTCCATCCCCAAGCTATAAGACTGCTAAATAGTTAGTTAAATAGTTACCCGGACTATCTGCATTGACCCTTTCTGCACTAACTTTTTGACTCATCACACACGCTGCTGCTAGCAGGGGGAGTAGCTTAGTGAGCTGAAGGTCGGTGATGTTAGGTAGCTAGCTAGCATTAGAGACTAGGCTAGTGCTAACTTAATGAGCCAGCTTGCTAACAACAACGCAAATATTACATTAAATGGGGTAACCAGTAACGTTATATGTGACAACAGTTTGTTTAAAACACAGCGGCTAATATACACAGGAACGGTCTAAAGCACTTCAATGTTTCGGTTTTATGTTGGCTAGCAAGCTACCGTGGGGTTGAATTAGAAGCAGTGTTGTTAGAAGAGTCCCGTCCACTAGATTATATGTCAAACTGGCAGCATCGCCTGAAAGACGCACATCGCCATCTGCTGACTGGAGTGAGAAACGTAGTTGAGAAAAAAGTTAGTTTTATTTTCAGACAAAAAGTTAATCACTTTCAATGATTGTTTTTCTTTAAAAAAATCACATTTTTCAAATCAAATTTGATTTGTCACATGCCCGAATACAACAGGTGCACAAAAACCTTACCGTGAAATGCTTACTTACAAGCCCTTAACCAACAATGCAGTTCAAGAAATAGAGTTAAGAAATAATAATAAACTAAAGTAAAAAATTAAATAAAAAGTAACACAATAAAATAACAATACCAAGGCTATATACAGGGGGTACCGAGTCAATGAGCTGGGGTACAGGTTAGTCCAGGTAATTTGTACATGTTAGTCGAGGTAATTTGTATATGTAGGTGGGGGTAAAGTGACTATGCATTGATAATAAACAGCGAGTAGCAGCAGTGTAAAAACAAAGGGGGGGGGGGGGGTCAATGTAAACAGTCCGGGTGGCCATTTTATTAATTGTTCAGCAGTCTTATGGCATGGGGGTAGAAGCTGTTAAAGGAGCATTTTGGACCTAGACTTTGTGCTGTGGTACCGCTTGCCGTGCGGTAGCAGAGAGAACAGTCTATTACTTGGGTGACTGGAGTCGTTGACAATTTTTTGGTGCATTCAAATTTTTATTTTATTTTATTTTCAATAATAATATGTTGTAACATATGAAACATACAGATAGGGAACAATGATTTGATTCATGCAAATTCATTTGAAACATTTAAAGTTTACACATCTATTACACAAGAACACAGGCACAGATACATCACACACCAGTCCACTACGTTGATGATTGTAAAAGGATTAATGACTAATGCAACATGTACACACATTCTATTACCCCGTTACCCCGGTAACACACATAGTGGACTGATTCTGTTACCCCGGTAACACAC